CACTACTGTAGGTTTTTTTTTAACCTTTATTTTTGCATCAATATAAAATGTTTTCTTTCATACTTTGATCAAGACATGAAAATGTTACTCAAGGTACTTTTTATTTGCATTTATTATGCATGTAATAAATGGTAGGAAATGAAAATGTTTAATATAAAAAAGGAAAGGCTAATGAAATCGGCCTCATATGACTTACTAGAATCTGAAGGGAATTGCATTTTGTGCCCTATCTGCACAAATAATCTTGAGAGACTACAGTGGTTTTTTAATAAATTGACTCCTAAATTACTTTCTACTGCAGCAAACACACATCATTTTAAACTCACTAAGTTTTCCTTCAGTTACCATGCACCAGTCTAGACAAATTCTCATTAAGGATATAACTTTCTTTCAATTACTAGAGCACTAGGGAGACTATTTAATAAGCGCAGGCTCAAAGATTAAAGCCTTTGCAGTGATTAACTGACTCATTTCTGAAGAAAGCAAGCACCTGATCTTCATAAAAAATATTGTATCTAAGGCAGTGGGATGTACTACTTGTGTTACACACACTAAAAAAATCGGGTTATTTGTCCCTGTATCTGGTTAGAAGGACTATGATTCATGGGAAATGGGATCAGTGAACTAGAGAGTGAAATTTGGCTGGGGAAAACTGGGTAAATAAATAGAACAGAGATGTGTGAAATTGGCTGTTACCCACTTAGCTCGGGCCATTGTCTAGAAAGCTATCTTTGATATCCCCTTGTTGAATTAAGTTCTGCTACAGCATATTGAATTTATCACATTATATTGTAATTATCTGTTTTTATGTCTATCATCACCACATGAGCATGTAAATATGTGTTTTATTTATTCATGGAACAAACACAATATCATCATTAGTGCTTAGATTTCTGATCCAGGATTAATAATAATACATTTACATTATATACTGTTAAAATGTAATAAAGACATATGTTTCCTCCCAATGCATTGGAAGGACTGTAAATGTAGGAATCAGCATTTTGCTGTCACCCAACTAACATGTTTCATTCAAATTCATTGGAAAAAAACCTTCTGTCAAAGTAACATGTTGATTGTTTTGATCTCTGTGAATAACTCATCTTAACCCAATATATCCTCCAGGAAACAATGTAGTTAAAATTCACAAACCACAATGGAAAGAACTCCACTTTTTATAATCACATTGTGATCTTTTTATAATCACATGGTGATCTTCAAAAGGTGGTGAATTGAGACACAAATCTCCTGGGCAAGGAAAGCCTGGTTATCCAGGGCACACTGGAGCATCAATTGTGGAAGCAAGGTCAAGTTCTCAATCTCCTTAGTTTAATCTTTAGAAACTAAGTTCCTGAGTCTCTATAGCAGCTCCCCAGCAATTGAAGTTAACAGCTTCCTGGGACCTCACCTCTTTGAATTCACTATTGAACTAAAATTAGTGTTTAAAGTAGGAACTTGGAATGAATGCCACTTACCCAGTTCTGTGTTTGAAATGAAAATAAACAACCGTTAGTTTCTGGGTTTTGTTGACTCTATCAAAAAGCATTGTTTCTCCTGCAACTCACCCTCTTCCAAGACTTTATGCCTGAAAGCTCCCTATGTTGAAAGAGTTTTTGTTAAAGTTTAAAATGTAGAATAAAAGGAATTACGCACACACACAAACAAATTTAAAGTACAGAAGATTCTAATATGCATAAACCAAATTGATTATTTACATAATGAATAATAAAATTTATTTCCTCTCTTGCCCTTGATAGGAATTGCCTTCCTGATGAGGCTGACATCACTTGGATGAGGCTTGGAGCTGGGACATTTTCATTCTAAATGGACAGCATTTGGGAATATAAAAGGAACCGGAAGCTCTCAGTCCAACTGAAAGAAGCTAAGTTAGGTATAGAAGAAATGTACCTCAACACAATAAAGATTATATACGACAAAGCCATAGTTAAATCTTCTAAGAACTGGAACAAGACAAGGATACCTACTCTCACCACTCGTACTCAACATAATACTGAACGTCCTAGAAAAAGCAATTTGAATAAAGATAAATAAAGGGCATCCTAATGGGAAAGAAGGAATATTGTCCCTGTTTATAGATGACATAACCTTATCTATAGAAAAACCTAAAGACTCCACCACAAAAGGGATTTGATAATTAAATTTAGTAAAGTTTCAGGATGCAAAATGAATAAAACCAAATCAATACAGTTTCTATACCTCAGCAACCAACTCACTGAAAATGAAATAAAGAAAGCAATCCCATTTACAACAGCCACAAAAAAATTAAACACCTAGAAATAAATTTAACTAAGGAGGTGAAAGACCTCTTCAATGAAAACTATGAAATACTGATGAAAGAAATTGACGAGGACACAAACAAATGAAAAAAATATCCTATACTCATGGATTGGAAGAATTAATATTGTTAAAATGGCAATACCACTCAATCCCTATCAGACTTAATGCAGTCCCTATCAAAACACCAAAGATATTCTTCACAAAAAAATAGAAAAAAATCCTAAAATTTGTATGGAACCACAAAACACACCAAATAGCCAAAGCAGTCCTGAACAAAAAGAACAAAACTGGAAGCTTCATACTACCAGATTTCAAAATATCCTACAAACCTATAGTAACCAAGATAACTGGCATAAAAATGGACATTAGACCAATGGAACAAAATAGAGAGCAGAATAGAAAACCCTGAAATGAATCTATGTGTTTACAGCCAACTGATTCTGTTTATACAAAGGCACCAAAAACACTTACTGGGGAAAGAACAATCTCTTCAGTAAATGATGCTGGGAAAACTGCTTAACTATATGAAGTATGAAACTAAGCCCCTATCTCTCACCATATAGAAAAATCATATCAAAGTGAACTAAAGAGTTAAACCTAAGACCCAAAACGTAAAAACCACTAGAATAAAACATTGGGAGAAACACTCCAGGACATTGGTCTGGACAAAGATTGCTTGAGTAAGCCCCCAAGAGTACAGGTAACCAAAGCCAATTTGGACAAATGGGATCACATCAAGCTAGAAAGCTTCTACACAGCAAAGGAAACAACCAACAAAGTGAAGAGACAATCCACAGACTGGGAAAAAATACCTGCAAACTATCCATCTGACAAGCACTTAACGATCAAAATGTATAAAGAGCTCAAACATATTGACAAGAAATAAAAGCATATATTCTGATTTTAGAAATGGGTAACTGATTTAAAAAGACATTTCTCAAAACCAGACATAAAAAAGCCAACAGAATATGAAAGAATTCTCAACATCACTAATTGCTAGAGAAATGCAAATCAAAACCACAATGAGATATCTCTCATCCCTGTTAAAATAGCTTTTATCAAGAGAGCAGCTGTAAGAGATGCTGGTGGGGATATGAAAGAAGAAGAACCCCCATTAGACTCTTGGGGAAAATAAAAATTAGGTACATTATTCAGAACATTATGGAGGTTCCTTAGAAAACTAAAAATAGAACTACCATATAATCCAGTGGTTCCACTGCTGGTCATATATTCAAAAGAAAGGAAATCAGTGTATTAAAGAGAGTGTTTGCCCTCCCATGCTTACTGCAGCACTACTCACAATAGCCAACATTTGGAATCAACCTAAGAGAAAAGCATATGTTTTATAATTAGATACTTTTGGCATATGCTTTTATACATAGGTGTGTCTATATTTACATGTACATAGAGTACATTTATAATTTACTGTTTATTTGGCACTGAGTTTTAAAGACAACTAATAATCTAGATGTTAGCATTGCAATAATATATAAAATAGACATGGTTCTTCCCTTTATGGACCTCATAGTTTAATATGACACACTTTTTTTTTTTTTTTGAGACGGAGTTTCGCTCTTGTTACCCAGGCTGGAGTGCAATGGAGCCATCTCGGCTCACTGCAACCTGCGCCTCCTGGGTTCAGGCAATTCTCCTGCCTCAGCCTCCTGAGTAGCTGGGATTACAGGCACGCGCCACCATGCCCAGCTAATTTTTTTTTGTATTTTTGGTAGAGACGGGGTTTCACCATGTTGACCATGATGGTCTTGATCTCTTGACTTTGTGATCTACCCACCTCGGCCTCCCAAAGTGCTGGGATAATATGACAAACTTTAAATGAGATGGTGTTATAAGTTATAAAGACAACCACATGTGAGCCAACATGGTTGGTAATCACTAGTCTTCAAAATCATATATGCTTAAGGATTAGAATGGTGAATAAAAGTTGACAGGTTGTAAAATGCAAAATAAGTATGTTATTAATTCTCATTACTTTCATTTTCTACCTAAGTAGCTTTAAGACTTGGTGGGAAGGTAAAAAACAAATATGGTAAAATTACATATTTGATGAAATATATTATGGCATTAGACTGGGAGGTATAATACATTTTTGATGAGTATTTTGCACCATCCTTCTTGAGAATATCCTTCATTATCTTTCTATAATATAAAATTTATAGAAGTACTATTGCAGGAGAAGAGTTATGAAAAAATTTTAATTTTGAAAATATTTTACAATTTTTGCATAACCTCTCCAATTACAATAGTACCTTTATAACTGTTTCAAAAAAACTATTGTAAATGCGTTGCAAAGATATAGCAAAAGTATATTGTCTGTAGTACTCTTGTGATTATTTATGTATATTATGTTATAGCATAAAATGAAATAATTCATTTTCTTAAGAATAATCACCTAAAAATTATAAAAACACAAGAAATGCTTACATATGAGTATTTTGCATAACAGAGCATATTATATTTTATATAATATTTACTTACATGTATATACTATTAATACAAAGGTTATTAACATTGGTTATTATTTGAGGATGAGGTTAATCAAGATTTTTGTTTTCTCCCTTTTGCCAATGTGTAATTTCTAAATTCATAACTTTTATAAATTTTAAAGTTCTTACTAAACCTAATTTCATAGTAATAAAAAAGTCTGAGAATCTCTTAAAAGGGAACTCAGTAGAATTACTTACCCTAGGCCCAGCAGCTGACAAACATCATTTGAAATCTGGGTGGTCCAGTTCTCAGCACAAGCTGTATGCCATATGCTCTGGATTTGGAACTGCACTAAACCATTGTTGTTCATTGTGCCATTGAAAAAACGCACTGAAGGGTGGGGAGAATGGGAAGACGTCAGCCAAATGTTCAAAGAGTACAGAGCTTCAGTTAGACAGGAGGAGTAAGTTTTTGAGATCTCTCACTCTGCACTGTGACTACAGTTAATGTGTTGTATATTTCAAAATTTTGTAAAATTGTGAAATTTCAAATTTTCCCATCATGATAAATGATAGGTATTTAAGGTGATGGATAGGTTAATTTGCATCATTGAATCATTCCTTGTTTTCTCTCTCTCTTTCTCTCTCTCTCTCTATATATAGATACACACACACACACACACACACACACATATACATACCTTTTATATATATACATTCTCTCTATATGCAATCCATATACATACATTATATATAATAATATCACATACCTCATAAATATATAGAAATAAAATTTTCAAATTTACAGCAAATTTTTTAGAAAAACTAACAAAAAGAGATGCATTAAAAACATTAGATGATACAGGTGGCCATTTTGACCTAAATTGATAAGAGTAAATTATGTCCTCTAAACTAAATGTGCAATGTTTCTAACATTTTGAGTTTAGAGACTGATTGCTGTTTTTCCTAAGAGCATGATGGAAGGTCTAATTTGAAAAATATAAATTTAGTAGACAATATTGCTCTTTTATATAACTATAAAAATGGAAAAAGCAGAGATATGCAAGTTTATTACAAATCTATACAGCAAATAAACAGAAAATAAAGTTATATGTGAAGAGTATATCTTATAAACTTAGTTTCTGAAAGTAGGAAATCAAGTTTAGGAACTACTTTAGGAATTCCCTTCCCATCCCTCCAAAACTACTTTCTTTGTACTTTGATTTCTATCACCTTACTCATCACTTTACAACCGTTTTGAACGGAATGTTAAGGCCATTAGCGGCCAGGTAGGGACTGGACCAAGCTAAGTGAATTCATTAAAGGAGGAAAACATCAGCAACTGTAGTCTTACCTACACCGGTATGTTGTAATTCTATAAAATAATGCTACATCATTTACACTTTTTTTTTTCTATTATGACAAGAGTTAAGAGCAGTGACAATAGAATTACGCAAACTTAGGTTCTAGATGTGTGACCTTCGGCAGCACTTACCATTTCCAAACCATAGTTTCCTCATGCCTAAACTATAGCTAATTCTGTTTTTTTTTTCTTTTTTGAGATGGAGTTTTGCTCTTGTTGCCTAGGCTGGAGTGCAATGGCGCAATCTCAGCTCACTGCAACCTCCGCTTGCCAGGTTCAAGTGATTCTCAATTCTCCTGCCTCAGCCTCCTGAGTAGTTGGGATTACAGGCACCTGCCACTACACCTGGCTAATTTTATATTTTTGGTAGAGACAAGGTTTCATCATGTTGGCCAGGCTGGTCAGGAACTGCTGACCTCAGGAAATCTGCCTGCCTCGGTCTTCCAAAGTGATGGAATTACAGGTGTGAGCCACCTTGTCTGGCCAGCTATAGCTAATACTTATTGTAGATTTTTTTAAACTTAGTTACAGTGCAAATAAAAAGACATAATAAAAGTATCCATGATTCATAATGTTATTGCAGTCTGGAAGGGGAGCTGGACTAAAAACTCAGCAAGGCAGGGAGAGAAAGTGAGTTATAAGTGAGCATGCAGGTGCCTCTGAATGTAGGCAATGAAGAGAACACAGTAGCCAATATGAGTGGTGTCAGTCTGCTGGGTTTGGAATATTGTCTCTGTGATAGTCCAGGCTTCCTATATGAATATTGGTTTCTTTATAATGCCAGTTATTAAGTGTGGCAAAATGGAAACAAACAATAAACTGAGGCCTGCATATTAACTTTATCCTAACCAGACGGGGTCAGAGGTGCTAAAATCATCTCAGAGATGAGATGTTCTCATTTCAAAGCGTCAAAACAGATCCTGATAAACATACTTGTAATATTTCTTTTACATTGTAGAATCCAAATGCAGAGGGTATCGTCATAAATGTATTTTCCTAAAAAAAGACATACCACAATCTGCTTCATCTGAGCCATCCTCACAGTGCAGACGACCGTCACAGAGATTCACCAGTGGAACACACTCTCCATTGTCACATTGAAAACTGTCTTCCTTGCATGGCTCTATGGGGGAAGAATGTTTACTGCGTAGGTAAAGAAATTACAAGTGGATGATTCTGGAGTACAAATCCCATTTGCTCCCCTTTAAATATCAGTCCTTTGCCACAGCACAAGGTGGAGCTGGCTTTGATACTGAGCAACGCCATCTACCTGGTGGTTCAGAATGCCTCAGAAATAGTTTCCAAGCTGATGTGTATGTAGCTTTAGAAAAGTGTGGATGAAACCTCAGACATCTGTTTTGCAGTAAAACTCAGGGAATTTCTAAGAGGTGGCTGAGAGATTGTCAACTCACCTCTTCCTCATAATTTTGTTAGTATCTCTTCAATAAACTCCTCCACCCTAAACTGACATACAAGCAACAACCACTCAAGCACAGAGCAGTCCCCTGGCCTCACCATCCAGATGATACCGCCAAAGCTTTGTAATAAAGAAATGTCGAAATTGTCTGTTGGTGGGATCAAAGTTGAATTGGGTTGGAAACAGAGGGCTCAATGAAAGCTTGCCTCAGGCAGGAAAGAGTTGTCACAAAGAAATAAAAACTTTATAATATCTGTAACATAAAACGAAGTTGGGGATAGAGCTACAAACAAGTAAAGCAGGGCTGGAGGCATGGGAATGTGCTTGGCACATGGAGACACAAAGGTAAATGCAAAGACTGGGCAAAGGAAGAACGGTATATCTGGAGGCCATTGGCGATTGTTTTCAGAGCTTGGGTTGTGCAAAAAGAGGCCTACTGGAAACATTCTTTATTTAGAGAAAGTAGCTCCTGCTGTTTCCTGAGATTGTTTAGTCTTTCAAAGTTTTGTTTGGGAGAGCCCTCGTATCACGGGGAGAGAGGGGTTTGCTTCCCTTGCCCAGTGCTTTCTGGTTATGGCTTAGGATTTATAGCTGTGTGCTGGAAGGAGAGTAGGAACTCCATGCGGGCTAAGTGGAATTTGGTTCCCTGACAATGGCGATGGCTGTCAGGTGTGGAGAGGTTCGATGTCTTATCCCCTGCGTGGCACATGAACAATCATATGGGGAAGCAAAAGCACTTGATAAAAATAAGAAACAGGGAAGCTTGTATTTTGAAAATTATTAGTGATTATAAGTCAATATAATAACATAACTATTACATTGCGTTCAAGGAGACACAATTTCAGGTTAAAATGATTTCTGAAACAAATTATAAAAATATCCATGAAGACTTTCTGAATTTATGTTGACCAAACATAATGCCACTTGAAAGAAATTATTCCTGCTGTTTTAGAATCTAGGTTGTAGACTCCAATCTGAGAGTACTGATAAATATTCTTATACTCTAATGGGAGGTACTCAGTATAGCCATACTACACTTACTGAAAAAAACACCAAAACTGGTCCAGTAACTATCAATATCCATCACCTATTTTCAGATTTTTAATAAAAGCACATTAGAGTATTTTTCTAAAAAAATGTTGAATAGAGTTTTTGAGGGGGAGTGTTTTTATGGGGCAAAGGGGAAGATGGTACCATCCAGCAAACCCAGTGCGGAGTGCCCCGAGATAATCAACTCCTAGTTGAGTTGTTTGAAAGGAGCAAGGTCAGCATCTCACTCTCTGGCTGGAAGCTAACTGCATAACCACTAGGACCAGGTCTTTCATGGAACCAGTGCTAGGGCTTTCAGATTTTTTTAAACTCTGACTTTAGTATGAAACAGATTTTAAGTAATAACTCTAGGATACACACCAATGTGTGTGTGTGTGTGTGTGTGTGTGTAACTAAATTAAAATTTATCTTTGCTCTGTTCTATTAATTCCATTCCTATCCCATCCCATCCCATCTCATCTCATCCCATCCCATCCCATCCCATCCCATCCCATCCCATCCCATCCCATCCCATCCCATCCCATCCCATCCCATTCTATCCCATAACAAGACATAAAATTTATTAAGTAGTGAAACCCAATACATTGATTTCACTACCTAGCTTTTGATAAATGCTAGGATAAATTGAAGTATAGTGAAAATAATGAGAGATGGTAATGTTATTTTTCTGAAGTCTGTGGGCAGGTAGCTGTGTAAATAAAGATTAGTGATCAATTTCTATGAAATGAAATCAGAAGTTAGAAAGTTGGCAAGGTGATCACTGAGAAGGTGATCAGATGACAACTGCTTGGCAGGGAAGGCTGGCTCCAGCACAAAAAGTGGAGGAATGGAACCTGGGGATTAGGGATATGGAGCTGAGTGGGGTTATAAGAGATTATCTAGCAGTTATACTACCCGTGTCTACAGTACAATAGTCCAGGGCTGGTGGAAAAATGCTCCAAAGAGCTCACACGTCCGTTTCACAACAGAGCTAGCATTTGACCAGAAGCTGGTCTTTGCCAAATGAAAACTACAATGGTTAAAACAAAAAAATCTTCCTAATTTCCAAAATTGGAACTATGGAAAGATGGGGGAAAAATGGAAGTAGAATATAAAACAAAAACAATTATTTCCACCATCCCCTGCCTTATGTTATTAGGCCAAGATCTGTGCCTGAGTTGAGGGATAAAAGAAGCTTGGAATTGCATAATATAAAATGCGGATATTTTACTTGACTGCTCATTCTAATACTTAAAAGTCAATTTAAATTACCGGGTAAAATTATTGAACACCAGAAGTCACTGAAAAAATGTAGAGATCTGTCTGAAATATCCAGGGCCAAAAAAGGAGATTTGAATTAATATAGAGACAAATGAACCTTTTGTTTTACTTATATTGTCATCGAGCTCAGACATTCTATAAACTGAATATACAATATGCTAGCTGCAATACCCATAAAGCCATGGTTTGCTACCAGGGCTTGGCAAAATGTCTGGCACAAAGCAGGGAATAAGTAGATATTTTTTAAACATAAACATAAACATCCCACCAAAGACATTCAGATCTAAGAGTTCCACACTCCTCCCCACTTTCTGCCAGGTGGGACTCGAGGAGGCAGTGGTCTTTGTCTCATTTCACCACCTCCTGACCCTGCTGTCTGATAAAGTTAGGTTAGGTCAGTTACCTTTTCAGGTAACTGAAGGCAGCCACTGTGCACCACCTTGGTGATGAGCACCAGCACAGGAAGGCCCTGCACCCTTAACTGGAGGGAGCATAGAGTCATTCCATTCCAGGTTGTCAGAGGGCTGGGCAGGCAGGACCAGCTGGGTCTGGGGCAGGCTGGGCCCGGTGGAACAGGGCCGATGACTTCCACCCTTAGCAGACTCACCTGGCCTGAGTTAAGAATCTTGAGAGTAGTGATGGCTACACAAATCAAAACATGGAATAACATTTCATGGAACTGTAGACACACAAATACATGCCTATGAAAACTGGTGACATGAGAACAAAGTAAGTCTGTGCTCTAGATGACAGTAAAAAAAAAATTAATGTATGTCAAAAGATCGATATGCTTCAAAAGAAGTATGTAGCTTAATAATAGAGTTGATGTAATATAAAGCACTTTTTAAAACTATGATTTCAAATTAAGTTTAAAATATAAGATAATTGGCTGATGGTAATCCTAGTGATTTGAGAAAAGAATCAATTTTATGAATTATGAAGATACAATTTACTTAGATAAATCTGAATAATGGTTAAGACATAGGCCCTGAAGTCATATGGCCTTGGTTGGAGGTGCAATTTAGTCATTTCTTTTAATATTTATTTGACCTTGGGAAAGGAAATTAGTTTTTCTGAAGCTCAGTTTCTTTGCCTGTCAATAGGAGTAAATATTACTTTTGTCTTAGCTGTGTCAGGACAACAAATTTTAAAAAATAGTGAAGTGTACAAATATTTATATATGTACAGAGAATACTCAATAGATATTTTTAACAGAAAAAACAGTAACAGTAAAAAAAAATCTTTTTCACTGATTTTTTGTTTTTTTGAAATGGAGTTTCGCTTTTGTTGCCTAGGCCAGAGTGCAATGGTGCTATCTTGGCTCACTGCAACCTCTGCCTCCCAGGTTCAAGCAATTCTCCTGCCTCAGCCTCCAGAGTAGCTGGGATTGCAGGCATGTACCAACACGCCTGGTTAATTTTCTATTTTTAGTAGAGATGGGTTTTCTCCATTTTGGTTAACCTGGTCTTGACCTCAGGTGATCTGCCTGCCTTGGCCTCCCAAGTGCTGGAATTAAAGGCTTGAGCCACTGTGTCCAGCCTTTCATTGATATTTTTAAAATTAACCTTCTTAATCCATGTGCTACTTGTGCTGCTTCTCCCTACAAATAACCAAATAAACAAGCAAACTACCTAATCCTTTTCTATTAGGATCTTACAACAATAATTTCAGCTATTTGTATGTATCCTCTACTTTAAACTTTGAGGAATTCTGTATGTTTTCAACCCAAATCAAAGTTACCCCATCATGAAAATATTTTTAGAAAGCCATGGCTGATTGTTTCTACAAACATCCATACCATGAGAAAAGTTGGTTGCATATCTCAAAATATAATGCTATTAGGGAGGTTCTTATAAATATAATTATCAATTTGTTTCACAAACATATTTTTAAACTAGGTTAGTGAGATAACAAATGGACAGAGATAATTACAGATTCTAAAGGCAGCATTAATACTTTGACTGACTATATATTTCATCTTTCTGACATTAATTTTCCTTCAGAAATGAGGAAGTCTTAAATGTGGGCAGAAGAGTTTGTATTCATATATTCTGTCTTAAATATATATTTTGCTATACTTGATTTAAAAATTTCACAGCAGTAATTACTAATTGTCCATGATCAAACATATTAATATACTTACAGATGTTAGTCACCACTCTATTTTTAATTATTACTTTTTTCATAGCTTATCGAAATCACTGTGTAAAAAAATTGTATGCTCTCAGCTCACTGCAACCTCTGCATCCCAAGGTCAAGCAATTCTCCTGTCTCAGCCTCCAGAGTAGCTGGGATTATAGACATATGCAAGAGTTCTCAGTGACAATAATTTAATCATAGATAAATTTTCTGATAATTTTACCCTTTTACTAATTTATACAGGCAAAATTTAATTG